TACCACCAGCACCACCACCAGCAACAACAACAACAGCAGCAGCAACAACAACAACAACACCAGCAGCAGCAGCAGCAGCAGCAGCAACAACAACAGCAGCAACAACAACAGCAGCAACAACACCAACACCAACACCAACACCAACACCAACACCAACACCAACACCAACACCAACACCAACACCACCAACAACACCAACACCAACACCACCACCACCACCACCAACAACAACAACAACAAACACAACCACAACCACAACCACAACCACAACCACAACCACAACCACAACCACAACCGCAACCACAACCACAACAACGACGACAACCACAACCACAACAACCACAACTATTGCAACCTCCACAACCACCAGAACCAGCACGACGACCACGACGACGACGCACACCACCACCACAAGCACCGCCGCCGCTGCTGCTACCACCACCACTCACCGCGCCCGCTACCAACAACAACATGGGCCACGACAACGACTCTCTGACTACCCCAAAACAACCACAACAACCGCCACTACCGCCGTCACCAGCGACGGCGACGGCGATCGCCACCACAACGGTCACCATCACCAAAACAACAACGACGACGACAAGCACGGCCACGACCTGGAGCAGTAGCAGCAGCAACTGCAAAACGACAACGAATCAATTGCAGCAGCAACAATAGCAGCACCGTGTCCACGGTGAACGACGCCTACTCTGCTAGAATACCAGAACCACATCTACAGCTACAGCCTGACCTGCAATAGCTACAAACACAACCTCAACAACAGTAGCATCAAGAACAGCATCCACACCACATCGACCGGTCAATAGTTTCATCCGTTCAGCCAGAGCATCATCAAAAACAATTGCAGTACTTGCGACCATCATTAGTATTTTCGAAAGCCATGATGATGACACATGGAAGAGGATGATGAGGAGGGCAAACCGAGAACGGAGTTAGGAAAGGGCTGGCGATCAAAGCTGAATGTCGAATTGGACCACTTTGCTCCCAGGGCTGTCAATAAGCTTTTGGTGCTGCAAGATGACGTTGCTGCAGGACCGGCTTAGGAAGTGCGGGTCTGGAGGACAAGCTCGGGGCCCCCTCACGGAGCCACGACTCCAAAAATCTTGAAGTTCGTGCTATCCCAAAGTGAGCATTCCCTTCAGTTGCTGACCCGAGAGGCCAGTAGTCGCCTGAGGTCGTCGGAGTCATCCTCTGTGCTTTGTTGTTGCAAAGGATTGGAGTCTCGGCATGAGACAGCCGTGCTCAGCTTCTTTAAGATCGCATTGGGTAAATCTGAATGTACCAACATGGAAAAAATCAAACAACCAGCAGGCTGAACGAGATTTAGGCATTTGGGCGGATCAAGTGCATATGCTTCCGTGCGGCAGTAGCATTACTTGCGTCCACTGTGACATTCGGGTCCGACGTGTCCGGATCCTGGTAGGATGACACAGGCACTCATTGCTGGCTGCATGGCGGAACGCACCGTGTAACTCCGAATCCATACAGGGAGCGACAGCTGCAGCGATAACACCAGCGGGCGAAAAGCAGCCGACATTTTCTCAAATCGACAGGATCATCATCATGATCATTAATTATCCCCATCAGACCACTGCCACAACCATCATTGCTGATTGTATGCATGGTCCTGGTCAGCTTCACCAACATGACAACATTGGCAACAGCATTAGCAGCTCTGTCATCAACAGTAGCAACATTGACGTCATCACCGTCTCGCGCAACTTTAACAGCAGCATCATCCGCATGATCATCAGCGTCATTGGTATAATTATAAATTTCCTCATAATAACGATCCCTGGTATGAGCTCCTTTTTCCAACTGCTCTCGCTTCGGTGGCGTGTTCTGCGATTTTGACTCTCTTCGGAGTCTAATTGTCTAATTGGGTTTATCGAAACTTTCAATCGTATTTCTTACAGAAATGCTTTTTCGATATTCGCAGGACCGACCGTTTCCCGGTGGCGTCTCGCAGAAAGTGAACTCTTAATATACGGTAAGGGGGCACGGGAGAAGAAAAGAAACATTTTGAAGCTTAGACCAAGATGGCAACGGAATGCATGAAGTTCGACGTGTTCGACTCATGTACATCCACGGAGTCGATCGGTGATTGATGAAAGCAATGAGTTGTCATTTCGCACACAAGTCTGCTACACTAAGGATCCGAATCGTCGCACTGCCTATTCAACTTCGATTCTCATTGCAAATAGCAAATACCACCGCCACCACCACCACCACCACCACCACCACCGCCGCCACGGCTTCAGCTTCAGCTTCATACTACTTTGTCCATGTCACGTTCGCCGTCGTCATCGTCATCACATGTCATCTCTGATTATGATCGTCTCCGTCCGCAGAAAACACATCACCTGCGGCAAAATCGGAGATGACTCTAGCCTCCATCCGAATACAACACCACTAACACCCGAATGCCCTAACGCTCGCGCAGCCCACGACAAAACTAGGCCCAAGGGGCTTTGATCTGGGAGTCGTCCGAACGAGCCTGCACCTGCGTGACTGTAACGATCTACATGAGCAACGTTCGTGGCCAAAGCCCCTCTGAGTCTGCGCCATAAGCTTGGAGCACAAAGGCCTGTGATGTTTCATGCCACATTCCACCAACTCCACCATGGGATAATTCAAAGCACGATACTTTGCTTTGAACATTCCAGCACGGCTTAGCGCTTACAGTTTCGGGTCTATGGTTCCATGGCATAGGGCTGAAGGTAGAGCGCTGGGCTTCCGGATTGTGAAAGGTTTGGACGGTTGCGGGTGTCTTCGATCCGAGTTGGCAGACTCGGCACCATGCTCCAGAACGGCATGAACATCCTTCACGCGTTGGGATGAATCCTGTTTCGCGTCCGGCCTGCATCGAAACGGCCCCGAAGCTGCTCAGCATTAGGGAGCTGTCGTCCACACCGGCGGCTGAGAAGGCACTGGCAAGAATGGCCTCGACAGTCCAGCAGTCCGGACTTTTGCAAAGCCATGGTGCCGGGAAAATACAGATCTTCAAGCCGGTATCCTGCAGTTCTGAACCTCCACTTCAAGTTTGACTTCGACTCACTCCGTGGATGAAGGTCAGACCTGGAAGCTGGCCAGGTCCTGCCCAATATCAGCCACTGCCTGCCGCGGAGGATAACAAAATCGCAAGCCCCCATTATCACCAATTTGCTGGCTGCTGAATGATTTTAGCGTCAACCGCTCAAAAGCATCATGCCCGGAACAAGGTTGGGTTGTATGGCAACCCGGTCTGGAAGTTTGAGGGCAAGCTTGTCGAAGGATGTTGAAGCCAGTAGCTGGAAACAGAAACGAAACGACAGTGCAAGCATGGATGGCACGGAGGGCATCAAGGTGTTGGAGAGCAGAGCCGTATTGCATCGAACACCACTGATCTACCGAGGACTCGAGGCACTGCATCTCGAGCGAGAACGGCTCAGATCTTCGTGTTCAAACCATACAATTTGCTCCATTAGCGCATGGCCTTCAACCCGATCCGCGCCTCACTCAGTGTGTTTGCTCGGCTGAGGGCTGTGACCACCTGGTACTGAACCTGGGCACTCAGAATGTTGTGCATGAAGCGTACTGTTACTACAACGTCAGCTCTGTTTAAGAAAGCATTGAATAAGACACCCAGGGGCTCAATTTGGGCGAAGAGGCACTAGAACCTACTAGAACCACCCCACTGGTTAGGAATTTCTTGAACACTTCCCCCAAACCTAGGTGAGCACAGTCGTGGTTCCCTGCCCTGCCGGACCGCCTTCAACCAAATTTCTTAATTTTCCTTTTTTGTTTCTTATCCAACACTGTCACTGTGCTTGCTACTTAGACTTACACCTAGTGCTTTTAAAATCGGTTGCCGCTTGTGCTTGTCCGGATGAAGGGGAGGGGGAGGTTGGGGCGACGGTGTCATAGCAGTGGCGGCCGTCAGGGGGAAACCCCGTCCCCGGCATACCGCTATCCCCTCCATCACCTGAAGCCTGAAGTGTGACAACTGCAAAGTTGCTGAACTCTCAACTTGCCCTAATGCTGAACTCCCTAATGCCGGCAGACCGTCCAAGCAGTCGCCAGCCGGCGCTGGTGCGCCTGAATCCTCCCAAGGCGACGGTAGGTTCCCTCCACCACCTTGAGCAAGGGCCAAGTGGGGTTCTACCAACCGCGACCGCTCCTTGGAAACGGTTGTGGAATGTAGTGCCAAGTTTCCACCCCAAGGCTTCTCCATTTTTTGAGTTGCCCTTGTGTTCGCTCATGATCTAACTTCAACGGCTTGGGCAAAGATTCAAGGAGTGTGCGTGGTGTTGAGCCATAGGCCATAGAGGAACACCTGAGGAACTGGAGCTGAGGTGTCTTCGGGTTAACGAACTGAGATTCGAGGGGCATGTTGCTCATTGCCACATTGTAGCACTAAGTCCCACCAGCGAGCCTGAATACACCGAGTTATCAGCATTCCAAACCTGAAACCAGCCCAAAACAAGGGAGAGCAAGAAGCTTGTGGAACGATCTTAAGAGGGGATCTTGTAATAAGGTTTATCGAAGGTTTCAGGCCACGCCAAGCCGCCTCGGTGATCGTGAGTTCGTGCCCGGCCAGCCCCAGGGCCGTCAAGAGGCTCGCCCTGGCCAGCTCAAGCCAGGCTTTCTGCCGTCTGCATGTCAGGCTCCGCTTTTTTGCTGGTATGTTTGCAACGGTACAGTCCTCCGTGTACATGTGACGAGCCCTCCAAACATATAGGCGGCATTCTTGACAAGCTTGGGAGCTTAAGGGTTCACGCAGACCGGCTAGATAAGGTCGGAGGATTGCGATTCACCCTGAGCTGCCACGACACAAGTTGTTCCAGTTTCCACTTTGCATATCCGGGGCTCCCATGACTTTTGAAGCGCAGGTGCAAGGCTCGACTCACCTACACATATACTTGCCATGACTTCTCATTGTTCTCCTCTTTGACCGTCCAAGGCCAACGACTCTCAGTGCAAATACAATCCTACTCCAGCCGCAAAGCTGCTTCACAGTCCTTTGCGGGCTTTGCTCAGCTTGCTGTAGTTGCGGCTTCTACTTGGGTGGTAAAGGGCTTTCTTGAGAAGAGGGCCACAAAGAAAGGGTGCAGAGTCGACAGAGCTCGGTCGTTATTGCGTGCATGCCCGGCAGCATGGACATACTGCAAGATGCTAGCATTCTTATAAATTTTCAGTGGCGGACATACAGATACACCCGTAGTATGTACCTTACACCGACATCATTGTGCTCCAAAATGTGCCTGCATAAGTAATATCTGGGACATCTACGAGCAGCTTAGAACTCTCCTGGTGGCACTGTAACTAGATTCTGGGCATTCAGACTTAAAACCTGTTGCCTTGGCCAACTGGCTTAAACAGATGAACCTTAAGGGGGCCCCCTGCCTTCTACAACATTGTCATTTTGGATGTTGGGATGGTATTGTGAAAGGACCGGTTAAGGTCCTGACTCTACAGAGCTAATTTGTTTCGCGACATCAGCAGTTTGCACAGAAGAGTGATGATACATATGTGACTCATACGGTTGTTATGCAGTAATTTTGTAGCTTGCTATGGTTGGTGACGTCATGGGTGGTGACTGTGGTGACAGCGATGGCGATGGTGGTGATCGTAATTCTATTGGTGGCAACGATCGTGGTTGGCAGTACAACTGTGATGTTAAGAAGAAGAATTTCATGATGATGTCGATGGTTGTAGTGAGGACAATGCAATGGTCATGGTGGTGATGATGATAGGGAAAGCCGTGATGTTGACTTGGTTGGTGCTGCTGATCTGCTGCTGCTGCCGCCGCGGCTGCTGTTGCTTGTGAAGCTGCTAGTCCACGCCAGAATGTGCGATCGCTCCTATACCGTTAGTTGCGTTTTCTTTTCGTAGCCTCTGTGGTGTCCTGATCTTCTCTGACACTAATTTTGAGCTGCTTTGCGCGCCTGACTGCTGCAGAGACCTCTGCCAGCGTTGCGCCTTCCAGGACCAGCGACCTTCAGTTCAAGGAGGGCCGGAGGGCCCGTGTCCCACGGAAGATCTTGGTGGCTCGCGCTTTTGGGGCTTGAGACAAGGCAGAACACAGCTCCGGACAGGCTCCCAGTCAGGATCGCCACCAGGTCCTCGCAAAACTACTGCTACCGCCAAGAAGCTAAGCACCCGAAGGTTGGGATAAACGGCACAGACTCTCCCTTGCCCAGCGTCCTCCGGCGCACTGCTGCAAAGCAACGCGACGCTGGCCGGACTTTCCGAGGCAAGGGCTCTGGCAATGTAGACCTGCCGAGCCCAAAACACTGCAGCACCGTGGCCCTGAAAGCTTCGCAACCCTGGAGCTGAGCAAACGCAGCAGCGCCTCGTAGTGGGTGACATATGCGGAATCTGAAGGCTCCTGTCTCGCCAGTGTTCTGAGACTCCCAAGATCCTAAGACTCTGACCACGATTGGCTAGAGCTGGGCTTCTCAAGACGCACAGGACTTGGCCGAAGCACTGGCTCCTTGCGAGGTGCATCAAGGTGCATCTTGACCTAGAGCCCACCTGAAAACCTTCTTGCCTTAGACTCAGGAGCTTAACGCCCAAGGCCCCATCTGACTGGCCGCTAGTGAAAGTCACTTGAACCATCACTAAAGTCATCATCACCGCCGCAAGCCTCACCAACATCTCCAGTCCAGTTGATCCTACTCTTTCTTGTCCCCTTGCAGAATCAAGCATGATGTTGATCATCAAATTGTATCAAAAGCAGCAACGATCCTCCCAAGCAAGAGTTCCGCCGAGGTCGGTGGCATCCAGGTCCAGATCAGAGAAGCTGAGGTTGCCCTCAGTTCGATTGACATGGCCTTACAGCGTGGTCTAGCTGAATTGGGTCGCTTCTGTAAGCTGTCTCTGCCCAGATGCCAAAGAGACCACGGTGTCGGAGAAGCTGAGCACTGCTGGGGTCGTCTGCTCAGCCTCAGTAGCTCAGCTATTTCAATCGTGTGTTCAACTGGTCAAGACCACAAAAGAGATTGGTCTTGTTCCGTCCTCTACGATGGTAGATTGCCGCAGTTGCAGTTGCCGTTGCTGCTGTTGCTGTGGCCGCCGCAGTGGCTGTTGTTGTGGTTGATGCGGTTGCTGCAGTTGTTGCGGTTGTTGCAGTTGTTGCGGTTGATGCTGCTGTTGCTGTTGTTGCTGTTGCTGCGGGTGTTGCTGTTGGTGTTGCCTGTGCTGCTATTGTTGCTGGTGTTGCTGCTCTTGCTCTTGGTCTTCGTCTTGTCTGCGTTGGTGTTGTTGGTTGTGTTTTTGTTTGCGTTGGCGCTGGTGTTGCTGATGATTGTGATGATGACGATGATGATGATGTTGTTGTTGCTGGCGGCGGGGATGGTGGTTGTGGTGCTGGTTGTGGTGGTGGTTGTGGTGGTGGTGCTGCTGCTGCCGCTGTTGTTGCTGTTGTTAGATGCGTCCATACTGGTGCTCAGGTATTTGGGTCGATTGCAGAGACCACGTCATGATCAATGATCACGTCCTCGTTGCCACCACGTCCGTTGGTCAAAGCACACATGGCCTATGCCCGAACCATGATAATGATGAGATGGTGATGTTTATGCTGATGATGCTGAGATGCTGATGATGATGCTGATGATGATGGCGACGACGACCATGATGACGTCATCATGCGCACGGCGGATGATGCTGATGCCTAATGGATTACCTTGTATTCTTGCTTGTGGATTCTGTTCGACTTTGGTCTTTGATCTTGCAAATGTGTGATTCAATTTTACAGCAGCGTCACGCAAATGATGCAAGACAACCTTCACGAAAACCGTCTCCAAGCACCAGTACACCAAAAGCATTTTCGACAGGCGCCTTTCGTGCATTTGTAGTATTGCCAAACATGCAGCACAAGCTACTACTGCTGCTGCTGACACCACCACCACCACCACCACCACGACTACTACTACTGCTGTTACTGCTACTGCTACTGCTACTACTGCTACTGCTACTACTGCTGCTGCTGCTGCCGCAGCCGCTGCTGCTGCTGCTACTACTACTGCTGCTACTACTACTACTACTACCACCACTGCTACCACTACTACCACTAATACCACCACTACAACTACCACTACAACTACCACTACAACTACCAATACAACTACCACCACTGCTACCACTACTACCACTACAACCACCACTACAACTACCACTACAACTACCAAAACAACTACCAAAACAACTACCAATACAACTACCACTACCACCACTCCGCCACTACCACCACTCCTACTCCTACTCCTACTGCTTCTACTACTGCTACTTCTACTTCGGCTGCTGCTGCTGCTGCTGCTGCTGCTACTGCTACTGCAACTGCTACTACTGCTTTCATGATGCTGATGATGACTAGGATGATGATGACGATGATTATCCTCAGCAGATGGTAGTTGAAGGCAGCAGTCTGATACCCGTGAAGATCATGATGCTTGTGATAACTATAACCATAACAGACAGAAGGCGGATACCGGCAATGATAAGGTGATGCTAACGAGCATCTAGTATGTAGAAAACTTATATCGGCACTTGGCATGGGTAATCACGACGACGACAACGACCGGTACTGCCGATGACTATCACAGTTATGTCACTGGCACAACACACTATATACTGCTGTCCTCAAGCCCATCCTCCTCCTTGTCTTGTGGTGTCTTGCACGCTTGTTCTCCCAGTCGCGGTGTACTAAACGAGCAGTTCAGTTGCCGCACGAACTTAGGGCTCTGCCAGGGATGAACGCGTGAAGACCAGGAAGCTTTTGTAGCCACTGCCCCTAGGCATCACGGGTTTTGCTTCTGTGTCCGTCAGGCCGCAGCATCTCTAGGCGTTTGTAACTCTCTATCACATTGAGGCTGGCTCTGCGTGTTGTCCGGCACTGTGAGGAAGTTGATTCCGGCTGGAATAGCAGACTCCACCTGCCAGGCTCCAGAAAGGCCCACACTTCTTTGTGTTTCAACGTTCCGGCATGCGCATGTCGCAAGACCGACCCTGATTTCTATCACACATCGAGCGTCCGAAAGCTGGAGAGGCGGCTTGGGGAACGAGGCTAACGGTTTCCCTACCTGAGGCTGATGTTTGCAAGGGCTTGCAGCGCCTGGGATCGTCTGGAGCCATCTGAGAGGTACACCAGGTAATCCTTGACAGAGGCCATCAATAGCTCGGCATGCGCCCTGGTATCCAGTATTCGTGCTTGGACTCACAACGTCATTAACAGGCATTCGGGACTTTCCATGCTCTGGGCGGCCTTAGTGGGCTACTGGGCTTCAAGATAATCTCTGCCGTTGTAGTGGGTAGGTGCTCGGCAGAAAGCTCTAGATCTGTGGGGACCTGTGCAACAGACCCGGCAAACAGACACACTGAAGCTTGAACTACAACTCCAAAATGGGTGTCCAATGCTTCGGGCTTCCTTCAGTCATGGACTGTTGCTGGCTTTCGTCAGCTGCTCTCCGTCTAATCATCAATTCCACACACGGTGAAGGACCCTGCAAGAAGTGCATGAATAAGACCAGCAAACATATCGAAATGACGGGTTTGCATTCACAAAAAAAAGGCGGTCGCAGCTAGTTGCCACCTCTGTTTTTCCAGCATGTATTGACGCCATATACCCACGGCTTCCGTTCCCGGAGGGGGGAGGCCTGTAGTTCGCTGAAAAGTCACATGCGAACTGCCTTGAAATCCGCGCATTTGCAGCATCTACGCCACGTTATGTCAGCATTTACCACCAGAGCTCCAGCAGCCTTCCGGAGGCATTCCGCGTACGACACGAGTACTCGCAAACACACGGCTTACTACATTTGTACTCGAAAACCCGATTTCGGCTTGGGAAGCACTCCGAGCACTCGTACTGAAAAACACGAGTTTGGAGACATTCCGCGCACTATTTTGTACCCGAGAAAACGAGGCCCTCCTCCAGGAGCTTTGGGGATTTGTCATGGCAAAAGTGCATTCGGCTTGGAATACTGGTTCCAGCCGCGCGGGATTTGCTTCTGCCACCGGGTACCAGCAGACCATGCCGATACTACATCTGTACTCGGCCACCAAGAAACCACCAAGAAACCACCAGGAGAGCACCGGCGACGACCAGGACCACACAGCAGGAGACCACGACGACGACCAGGACACCATTCGGAGAACACCATGCAGGAGATCATCAGAAGACCACCCACGACGAGCCCAAAGACGAGCACAACGACAACAATCAGGAGACCATCAGGAGAGCACCAAGAGACCACCATGCAAGGGAACACCGGAGATCATCAGAAGACCACCAGGAGGGCAGCAGGCGACCACCCAGAGAGACCCAGCATAGCGCGAGGAGACTACCAGGAAACCCACCAAAATGCTTTGCCCCAAGTACTGGCGCAAGCAGGACGATGCCCGAATTTCCAACAAATTCTCCAGGGATCCCACGGAATCGGGAGCAGGGCGGAAAGCTTTCCCCCAAGTAGTTAGCTACTATATTACTAACTACTTACTCTACTTCACAATGTTTTAAGCTTCTCGGAGGCCCGTGACCGGGACGATCCTCTGTAAAGAAGGCACGGCAGCAACAACTATGCACCACACAGACGAATCCTGTGCAAATAATGGGATGCGAGGACCAATCATGCACCGATTCCTGTTAATAACACGCGAGGGGCCATTTCTGCGCGCATGCTGCGCTGGCCCAGCAATCAATCTCTTTATTCTAGTTTGCTGCTAGTGTGAGAAACTCGCTTAATGTCAGCAAGTTGATTGGAACAGAAAGGGTGCCAGTACCGGTCTCCTGGACACGGTCGGAGTTGGGCGGCTGCCAAACAATACTGCCTGACGTAAGGCACAAAAAGCATGAACTTGACTACTGCAGCTGCTGTCACGGCTTGGCGATGTGCAGGGAGCGGCAGGAAGTTACACTGGCGACGGCAGCACACAAAAGCAACGTCCCATAAATTGAACTTCAGACCCACCACCCTATGAAGTTAATGAATAAACCTAAACTCCACAGCCTCCCAGCTCATCCGGATCGAAGTCAAGATCCTTAGACAGGAAGTTGCAAGTTGCTGCAGACATGCAGATGGTTCGATGCTCGAGGTTTAGTGCTCACACAAACGTTGGGACCTGTGGCGACGCATCGTGCTGTTGCAGGGTTTCTGAATGCTGTCGTTGCTCTTCTGCTCTCTCGTCTGCTGCCCTTGACGTTGCTGTTGCCATCGTCAATGCTGCTGTAGCTTGGGTGCTCCTGCTTCTCGTTTGTGCGGCATATAGTGCTTGAGTCCATCGTGGCTGATGTTTCAGCTCGCTTAAGGAATATTCTGGTCTTCTCCGACTCGCTCCCACGGTTCCACTATGTCCGGCTGAGGCTCCAGGAAGGCAATGTTGGAAACACTGGCCTTGGCAGGCGGCACAGAGGTACAGAGCGTGCACCAGTTTATCCACTGCCTCTTGAAGTCTTGAGGCTGATATCTAGGCTCTTTGTCTCCATGGGTGCTATGGCAACAGGGCTCTGCCCTCAGCAACGATGAATGCCACCATCCTCACTACCGGCACCTACAAGCTCTCGGCTGCAGCGTGCAACACTGCATCAGCAGCATCTGCATCCGCCACATGCTGCTTCAGATGGTACAGTAAACGGACGGATCCGGAACCTTGCCTAAAAGGACAAACATCGAATGAATCAAGCCCTGGTGCCGATTCGTCGCTGATTTTGTGAACTGCCGGGGTTGACTGCTCTGCCAACTCAGACCTTCCGGGCTTCGGGTCTGAAGCATTTAATTCAAGAGCTCCGAAGATTTTGGCTAGTACTGTAGGGTTTAGAATGGAGTTGAAACGCTATGGCAGGTCGAGTGGCTAGACACGCCGAAATCCTTGAGCCTAAGTTCGATCCAGCAACCACAATGGCTCCGACTATAAATTCAAGAGCAGGCGGGTTTGTGAAAGTGCTTGGACAAGCCATGTCCTCCGAGACTCTAGGGACTTTAGGGATGCAGCAAGTTCAGGTCCGAACTACGGCACATTGGACCGAGACATTGAGGCAGAACAGAACGGAGTTTGCGTTGCCTCGGCACGAAACACCCAGACTTCTCTTCCATGACCCTTCGAACAAGCAACCGAGAACGCTTGTGTTTCGAGCTGCCTGTGACATGGCTCCAGTCGATTCTTTCGTGGGTCGAAGGCATACGCCGGAGGGACCGCGGACTGAGACGGCTGAGCAGCGGCTACAAAGGCCAGGCAGTGGACCCTCTGTAGTTTCACCCAGAATGTAGTTTTGCATGTTTGGGACGCGCCCGCATAGGGCCCTACAGTCCGCAGAACAGAACAGAACATGTTATCACTACTAAGACGGCCATCATGCTGCTGCCAAAGGAAAAACAATTCTGAAAGGCTCTAGTTAGCGCAAGTTGCTGCAGAGGGGAGGTGGCAAACAGCAAACGATATCATAACAAATATGAGGCCTATATGCAGCCTCCCAGCCACCATAGCCTTCAAGTGGAAGAACAATTGACGTCTCTGAACCCGTGCTCCGGCCTAGCATAGACCAGGATGTGAGTGAAATCCACCAGGGCGGTCTCCGCAGGGAGCGAAGCATTTTTCTCCTTTGTGACTGCACGCTCGAGTGCGTGTTCACGTAGAAATCTCGTAGCTAGCTCGAACATGCAGAGTTTGTGGCTCGGTATACGATGATCATACAAACGGGACCAAATGTACGATTTCCTGCTGCAGGGTTAGGATGGCACACATGATTTCTTTAAGAAAGCCGGTTGGGACGGAGCAGAGCAGGAACACTTTGAGACCTGACAAACTACAAGCGTGATGAAACCTTGGAAAGCATGTAAGCGGCCTGCCGGTGAGCATCTTGGAAAAAGTGAGGCAAGCAACCAAGTCTCAGAGACATCCTCTGTTCCGACAGCCACGCGGAAGCAGCAACCGAAGTCTCCCACTTCACAGGGCGAACTCGAGTCGCTGTCTTGGCTGGCATCGCTGTCGGGCGCATTGAAAACCTGCTGCTTAGTTGGCATTTCAGTCTTTTGTGCGGTTCTCCGAGAAGACAAGTCAGGATTCACCATCCATGTGGCAAGCATGGTCCGATTCAGTCAATCGGAAGCCTTCCAAGGACTTGGGCTTGGCCCTGGGTTTGAGGACAGCATGCAGGAACAAGGTGGTATGGACTCGCCCTCAAGCACACATCTTTGTCATGACATCGGAGACACTCTTGCACAAGGACACAGTAAAGACAAGGACTAAACAAGCAAAAAAACATCAGGGTTGCCAACATCACTCATGTCATCAATATTACCTTCAAGACGATACCTCTGACAAGACTAGAAAGCGAAGTATGAGACTGCCGCCAAAGAACATCTTCCCCGAGGCTGGCGTTGCAGCCAAGGTCACCTGACGTGAAGCAGGTACACAGCAGTGGATAAGTTGACGAGTAGTATCCCCAATCCTGTAGCCAAGAATGATGGGAAGCAGAGACTAGATGATCGATTTTGCTATGGTCCAACTGTATGTCTGTTTGACCTTGATGCCATCTCCGCTCAGACCATTGGAAACAAGACACGAATCGCGTTTTCTAGAACCTAACATGCTATCACCTTGGCCCAACCCCGGCATCCCCTAAATTTCCTCATTTGGCCGGTGCTCTCGCGAAAGAACCCCCATGAGCGTCCCAATTAACACTGGAAACAGGGCACAAACACGGCATAAATTGAAATAGATTTTCCTTCACCACGACTGCACAGTTCCGCCGAAGGGCCATTTGGTAGCCTGGCCATGTAGACATCGAACTGCTCAATCAGGCTGTTTGCAAGGTCCTGCGGTAAGTTCATGTAAGCCCCTTCGAAAATGAAATCCTGTTTCTGCGCCCAGCAGATGCCTGCTGCAACTGTTGGGACCGAAAGCTTCAGGCGCCGCAATCACAGAAACAAAAGCTGTAGGGGTTTAAGGCAGTCGAAACCGACAGCTCCATGTAAGCTCGGGTTTTAAACTGCTACACATCTGGTCATCTGGTCGCAAAGACTCAGGTTGCTTGGGCCTGAGCACGGCCTTTCAGCATCTACGTACACTTGTACCGAGCTTCGACAGGCTTCTGCGCCCTTCCACATACTTAGCCCTGTGTCGGCCCATCTTGCTGTTGTTGTTGCTGGTGCTGGTGCTGGTGCTGGTGCTGGTGCTGGTGCTGGTGCTGTTGCTGTTGATGCTGCTGCTGCTGCTGCTGCTGCTCCTGCCGTTGCCGTTGCTGTTGCCGCTGCCGCTGCGGCTGCTGCTGCTGCTGCTCCTGCCGTTGCTGTTGCTACGGCCGTGGCTGCTGTTGCTGTTGCTGTTGCTGTTGCTGTTGTTGTTGTTGTCGTCGTCGTCGCTTTCGCCGCAGTAGTCGTAGAAGTACTTGAAGTGGTAGCGACAGAAAGTCTCCCAAGTGCCCCCTACAAGTCCTCATCTC